CTTGTAGTTACCTTTCCGATATCTCTTTATTATTGTTCCTTCTCTTCAAAGAGTGATGTACTTTGGGACATCATTGTATTGTTATTCCTTAGTAGCTCATGACATCATATAACGAGTCTTCGGGGTTTATTTTGGGTACTCCGCGTTTGTGTCAGATATGGTATTTTCACTCTATTTATGACATTTTATGAGACTTTAGTATTGTAAGATACAGAGACGATTGATCAATTTCATTGTCTATTATATCAAGTAACAAGTATATATACAAGTACATAGCCCTAACTATAGAAAGAATCAAAAAGGAAATCCTATAGATTTGTTGTGAATCCCTATAGTTCTACTATATAATCCCTCTCAAGTAAGAGCATAGATATTGATCATGCCCAGCTTCTTAACGAAGGTAATCAACTCGAATTCCATTCCACGTCGTTGTGAACAAATCAGCTGGTTGCTCTCCTGTCTTCACGTAGCTAGTGGAGATCAAGTTCTCTTGAATCTTCTCATGAATAAAATGGATGTCAACCTCAATATTCTTAGTTCTTTCATGATACACCGGATTTGACGCAATATGGAGGACAGCTTGATTGTCACACCTGAGTTTTGCTGGTATTGGATGCTCCTGGATGCTCCAACCCAATTTCAGTCAAAAGCTGAGGTATCCAGATAATTTCACACGTAGACTGTGACATAGCCTATACTCGGATTCTGCACTGGATCGAGATACAACACTTTGCTTCTTACTCCTCCATGATACCAGGGTCCCTCCAACAAAGACACAATAGCATGTAGCTGATCTTCTATCAATTTTGGATCCAGTCCAATTAGCATTTTCAAAACACTCAATACGAGTATGGCCGTGATTGTTATATAATATGCCTAGTCCAGGAGCTCCTTTCAAGTAACATAAAATCTGTTCCAAAGCTGCCCAATGTTTGACCATTAGTGCAGACATGAACTGGCTAACAACACTTACCGCAAAAATATCTGGATGAGTCACACTGAGGTAGTTTAATTTCCCAACTAACCTCATGTACCTCTCTGGATCATCAAAAAGATCGACATCATCTTACATCAGGAATCATTGGAGTACTGCAGGGTTTAGCTGCCAACTTTCCAATATTTGCAAGCAAGTCAAGAATATACTTTCCCTGAGACAAAAGAATTCCCTTCTTGCTTCTATTTACTTCTACTTGCAAAAAGTATTTACTTCTACCCGCATAGTCACCTCCTGTGATAACAATGTCATCAACATACAGAACGGGGAGAATAGTGCCATCTGTTGATTGCCGATAGAAAACTGAGTGATCAAACTTGCTCATTTTCAGCCCAAACTCCTGAACTACTTCACTAAACTTGCCAAACCAAGCTCGAGGACTCTGCTTCAAGCCATACAAGGACTTCTTCAAATGACATACTTTCCTATACTCCCCTTGAGCAACAAAACCGGATGGTTGCTCCATATACACTTCCTCCTGAATGTTACCATGAAGGAACGCATTCTTGATATCTAACTGATGTAAGGCCAATTCTCGAAAGGAGCATAAATAAGCAGAGAGAAGTGAGTTTGGCAACCGGGAGAAGGTGTCAGATTAAACCACCCCATAAGTTTGAGCATACTCTTTAGCCACAAGTCTAGCCTTAAGTCTTGCCACGAAACCATCTGGATTAACTTTAACTGTGAAGACCCGCTTACATCCCACCGGTTTCTTTCCTTTGGGTAAATCCACCAAATCCCATGTGTGATTATCCTTCAAGGCATGTATTTTCTCGAGCATTGCATTAGACCATCCGGGATGATTCAAAGCCTCCTTCAATGTCTTGAGTACCGAGATGGAGTCTAGAGAAGCAATCATAGATCTAGACATAGAGAATAAGTGGTCATAGAAAACAAAACTAGCGGTGGGATATGTGGATTTGCATGTAAGTATACCTTTGCAAAGTGCAATAGGAAGGTCAAGGTTTTCTGGAGGACAAGGCAGATGAGAATCTGATGACGGAGGAACTGTTGCAGGACATGTCTCCTTTGTCTCTCGCCTCCGCGAGTAAACTTGAACAATTGGCGGTCTTGCTAACACAGTTGGAGCAGGTGCCAAAGGCACACTAGTTGATTGGTGTTCAATAGAATAATTAGGAGTTAGAGGAACATCGTCTGGTTGTTCTAATAAAGCACGGGTAACCTTATATATTAGCCACTCATCTTCCTCCCCTTGATTTGTAGAAATGGGAGGTGCATAGAAGAATAGTGTAGTCTCTGAAGATACCACATCAGTTGACACCAAATATTTGCCAAGTTCAGTAGAATAACATTGAAACCCCTTCTGAAGGCGAGAATAACCCAAGAAAACACACTTCAATGCCTTGGGATCCAACTTGGTAATAGATGGTCGAACATCTCGAAATAATATGTGCATCCAAACACCTTAAGTTCCATCGGAAATAATGATTTGTTTGGGAAAAGAACACTATAAGGCACATTACCACCAAGCACAGTAGATGGCATGCGATTAATCAGAAAACAAGCCATAGAGACCGCATCAGCCCAGAACTGTTTAGGAATCTTCATTTGGAACAAAAGTGCCCTAGTTGTCTCAAGTAGATGCCTATTCTTCCTCTCAGCAACACCTCCATTTTGATAGGGTGTATCAACACATGAAGACTGATGTAGTATACCATGTTTTCTCATGTAGGACTGAAATAACTCTGGCATGTATTCTTTAGCGTTATCACTCCTTAGAATATGCACTGAACCACTGGATTGAGATTTTACTTCAGCACAGACGGCAGAAAAGTGAGTAAACACCTAAGAACGACTCTTCATAAAATAAATCCAAGTCATTCAAGAAAAATCATCTACAAAAGTGACAAAATACTTATGCCTAGTTTTGGAAACAACAGGACATGGTCCTCAAACATCATAATGAACTAACTCAAAAGCTGATTCAACTCGCTTATTTACCCTTGGACCTAACGAGATACGATAGGTGATTTGCAAATCGACATGACTCACAATCCAATGAAGAAATATTCTGAAATTGAGGACAGAGCTTTTTCAATAGAGGTAGAGAGGGATGTCACAATCGACAATGTGCTTCAAAAGGAGACACGGCACTAGAACATGCAACAGATCGTGGCTCCCATTCATCAAGAATGTAGAGATCACCAGATAGATATCCTTTACCAACAACTTGTTTCGTTGTAAGAACCAGAAACAAACAATGATCGGGAAAGAACGCGACAAAAATTAAGGTCTCTAGTGATTTTACTAACAGAAATCAAATTAAAGGCCAAGTTTGGTAGACATAATACAGATGACAGGGTAATACAAGAAGTTGGTTTAACAGTCCCAGATCCAACACTGCTACAAGTTGATCCATCAGCTACAGTAACTGGAGAGGGTGCTTTATGACCGAAAGCTAGAAAAAATATTGGGATTACCTGTCATGTGATTTGTGGCGTCTGAATCAATCACCCATATATATTTGAAGAGGTAATAAGACATGATTTATCTGACCCAGCAAAAGCAGTTACTGAAGGAGATTCCTTAATTGATTTCTGATATTAAAGAAATTTTAGAAACTCATCTGAAACCAAGATTGTTGAACTAGGAGCTGTAGTATTATTTCCTCCTTGCTTATTGTTTATGGTCATCTTTCCAAAAAGAAACCCCAAAGTATCAATATTAATGTCAGAAAAGCCAACAAAGCTCTACACAAAGAAATTTTCAACAATCACTGCTACTAAGACAGTGAATGAACAACTCTCCACTAGAATGACACTATCCAGCGAACCAGCGAAAAAGATACCCAATGAAACAAAGAAACAGAACTCTAGGAGAGCCAATCAAATGGGCAGTAATCAAGCAAAAGCCCGGGCAATACTGGTAAGAATTAGTAACCAAGAATCACTAACCAACAGATTAATCTCAAAGCTATAAAAAGGCCAAAGTTCCATACATTGTTGGTTCACTACTAAGGATGGAGCAATCACAGAAGGAAACAAAATTCGAACACAACAAAGAAAAGGTTAGACACTATGAACTGAAACTGGGACAGTAAGAGATTTTCCTGACCACGTTTTGCTGAACAAACAAACACCATAGGCTGGCCGGAAATGTCAAGTTGATGCTGGAGAACCAAGCAGCACCTGATTCCGATAATCCACGTGCCTTCACGCGCCACTTCTGCAGATTGCGTCGGAAATGCTTCGTCGACGCGTGAGATCCACTCGTGCATACTCCGACCACTGGATTCTAGGATTATGTAGATCTGGGGTAGGCGGTCCTTGCTAGGTTGGTGGTGATGGTTAAATTTCAAGTTCCAAACCCTTCAAAAGTATTCTCACCCTAATTGACAGTTCCGGTAAGTTCTTTATCTAAGACCGGTGAAGCCGGAGAACCCGCTCTGATACCATGTAAGATACAGAGACGATTGAGCAATTTCATTGTCTATTATGTCAAGAAGTACCAAGTATATATATAAGTACATGGCCCTAACTATAGAAAGAATCAAAAAGGAAATCCTATAGATTTGTTGTGAATCCCTATAATTCTGCTATGTACATTACATAGAGTATGTCTACGTTCATTAAGTAACAGAATGTCTATGTTCATTATGTAACAATTATTATATTATTTATCACCTTTGGATCATGCTTTTAGTTTCGTTGGTTCGCCTAGCGGGTTAAGTCATGTGTAATCATGGCTTGGGCAAATTGGGTCGTGATACACATGAAATTATCAACACAATAGGTCCAACACCTTAAGCTTATTTTAAATTCTTTAAAAACGGCTTGAAGGCAAAGCCTAATTGTTCTTTGTGAGTCAGGACACAATTTTTCTTCTAGTAAGATATCACAACTAGCTACCAAAGTGTTGTCAGTTGTGTACTAAGCTTTCACAGTAACAAATAGTTTATGCAGGCAGATTAGACACAACAGTATACGAGCATATTGAATAAGTTGATACAACTGACTGAAATAAAGCATCTGACATGAAGTCGTACCTCCAACCAAAAGGTCCAGTTTTTATCGCCTGCACCACTTAATCTACATATATATGATGGAGGACCATTACCAGTCTTCTCAGGAGCTGTATAACATGTCCACTGAGATTAACAATACTGCCATAGGGAAAAAGATCCATACTGAAAGCTGACACCATATAGATTACCTGGAAGAATGTTGTCTGCAAATGACCAGCTGGATAATGAACCAGTTATATTAAGGACTGCAACCCAGACTTCCCTCAAGCAACTGAAAGCAGACAAGAGAAACTATGAAACAGCTGATGTATTAGTAGGGACAGAGAATCTAGTTTTAACACAATAGTACTAGGAGAAAATATACTAGGAAACCTTATCATAACTGAGTTATGAATTTAACTTTATCCGGTTTGCAGTTCATGATCGATTTTGGCATCAATTTCAAGCAATGGAGATTGAAAATAATCCGAGGACCAATATTTCCAGAGTTCAAACAAAGGTAAACATCAACTTTATGATTTCACATGCTATACTCTATTAAACCTAAAAAATGCTGTCAAACTGGGGAGATTCGTATCCAGCAATAAATAACAGCATCACGTTGACATAAACTGCATATTTCAGAGGGATCTTTCTGTAATCAGATTACTACAATTTGATACAGCTAGCGGATAATCTACATCAGAACATGTTTAGCAAAAAAAATATTAATCTACATTAAAACATGAATTGAACATTCGGGTCACTATGAGATCACATAAAGTGCCATAACAGATATTAGTAACCTGTATTCATTAACTTAAAACAGGTAAAATAAGTGTCTGGATCCTCAGATGTGAAAGGTCATGGTCATCTATGATACACTATAAATTCATTCTCTTTAACCAAGGACCATGGATCTCTGAACTCATTCTTAAGATTCACTTTTGAAAATGCCTCGTTGAAGAGACTTTAATCCTGTAAGCAGTTCTGAATTCTGATAAATTTTTGGTGTCAATTTCAAGCAAAAAAGATTAAAAACTTCATGTGAACAAAATATTTCCTTAATTCAAAACAAGGTAAAACTCATTTATAATGGTTCCACAGTGCTATACTCTATTAAACCTTAGAAATATTGTCAAAACGACGGACATTCATATTTAGCAATCAGTAGAAACATCATCCCATGAACTGCATAATTCAGAAGGTTCTACTAAATAGCTTTGATGCAGCCAGCAGATAATTTATATCTACGTCAGAACATGAAGAAATTCAATGCACCACGAGATCACATAAAGTGGCATAGCACTAAAGTTGGTAACCTCCAGGAAAATGGATCTCCACTAATTTAACATTTCAAAAATGTATTGGATACCTTGGATATAAGACTCATGAACTCATTTATAAGATTCACTTTTGAAAATGCCAATATGAAATAAAGACATAAATTGTAATTATCCAATTTACCCAAGGGAAAACTCCAAGTAGATCCTGCGGGAAACCCCACTCAAACTCTCTTGTGGCTTGTTAATCGCTAAATGTGGGAAATGATTGTATTCAGTCAAGACATCCGAACTTTGCGCAGGAAACTTCATGCATCTTGAAAACAACGAAGATATTGGAAATATCCCCTGCAAGAAGGAAAAGATTATTACATGAAAGCAAAATAGATTATTTGAATTTCCCCTACGACATAATTTACAAAAATATCAGAGCGCCACTTCAATACAACAGCAAAGGTTTAGAAAAGTAGCACTTCATCACGATACTCGGCGTAACCCAGTTTACTCCCCCATAAAATCTTAAGACGTCTTTCGAAAACAAGAACAGTCACATGGTAATATTTCTTGAGTACACAAGATTTCAAAACCAACAGCTATAGGATTCAGGATGAAAGTAGTTCCCTTTTTCCCCTCTTTTTTTTGGGAGAACCGATAAGGTGATTTTATAATCCAGCACAGGAAGTGCTGCAAAAACTGTACATACAGAAAGTATGCAGCCTAAGCATGTTACTACTTAAGGGAAGCAAGGACTGGATACAAGCTGGTATATGTAGGAGCAAATCTAACCAATTCAAGACCTTTATAAAAGAAGACAGGTCTATGTCCTGTGGGGGAAAAGCACACAAATATCATATGAAAATATGTTTGGCTAATCATAGCCAAGCTTCAAAGTATCTACCATCCAATCAGCTTGGTGAGACTGTTTGACAGCAGCAAAGGATAATTCTGTATTAATGTGCAGTGCCTTGGCCACTTCAGGGGCATGTTTGAAAACAAAAGGCAGAGAATTGGAGTCAACAACAGCAAAATCATAGGTAGTTTCCATAATTTGACTGGCACCTGCCAAGCCAGCATTAACTTATTAGTAAGAAGATACAAAGGAATTCATCTGGAAGTGCACATAATCACAGATTAAACTCAAAAAATTAAGTTGCATACTCGTACTATTGGATTCTATCTTACAATATGTTTGGTTAGAATTAAAAGGGGAAGGAAAGGAGTTGGAAGAAAAACAGGGGGGCAGGTACTCTCCTTGTCAGTTTCCAGAATTGGACAAAATCTAAAAGAAGAAAGTATATCTCCTTCTGTTCTAATCATATCAGACAACTGGTTACAAATTATCACTATATACCTGAAGAGAAAAAACAATGAGTTTCTTTTTGATTCACTGTTCCCTCCCCTTCATAGAACCAACTATGAAGCAATACAGCTTAAGCAGGGCATGACACGATGGGGCATATCTTCTAACAACTTCTGCCTACTTAGTTCTGTAACTCCAGAAAGGAGAGAGCTTTTTGTCCAGAGGGGTCCATAGCATCTAAGAAGCAGCCAAAAACTGAAAGATATACTTGAACCGAATTGTAATCTGGAAAATTTACTTTTTAATCTCTTCCCTTCTTTTTTTCCTTTTTATTTTCCTTCTTATTAGGGAAAATGAATTGCTACTTCGTTGATACCTGCACTCCTGATAGTATGCTGGAATATAACTCTTTTTGGTGCATCAGTACTGTATGGAAAGAATTGTGATGAAAGGGCCAGAGCGAGAACACTGCTGTGTAGCAAA